TCTATAGATTATATTACACATGCTTGAAATGATATAAACAAACAATATGTGATTTCTAGATGCATATATAGTAGTCAGCATTTGAAGTGGATCAAACAAGTTAATCAAAGTTGTCCTAAGACAGACACATTTTTGTTTTAGGTTTTAGGTCAACATTGATGAAAGGTACAAGGTGACATCATTGGGCCACATGACCAGGAAGTTATATAGATTTTAATATTTTGAAAATTTACCAAAATATGCAAAATCATATTTCCAAAATCCAAGTCATGTATGATGTGTGATGGGACTGTGTGAAGATATTACAACTGGTGTGACATCATCAGGTCACATGAGCAGGAAGTTATATTGATTTGAATATTTGAAAAATTCATTAAAATAGACAAAATAACATTTCCAAAATCCAAGTTGTGTATGATGTATTAGAATTGTTATTGAATATATTACAGGTGCCATAACAGCACCTGTTTCTACCAGTTAAAAGAAAATGTTGGAGTACAATGTAATAACAATGTAACAATACATAGGGAATATCCCATTCACAGCTGAAAAATATGTATGAATGTTTTTCCACTTAATTCACATTCATTTACATTCCATTTGCATGATGCTTTGCATGTTTTTGAATCTTGGAATGCATATCTTTTTTTACTATTTTTATGCACTTTTGAGACATTAATTTTGCTCGTCAAATGTCCACATAATACCAACTTTACTGCACTAAATATGAGAATTTCTTTTAACTTCATGCCACTGGAATTCTACTTAATTCAATTTCGAATTAAAATTCTGCATCCTGTGTCCTACTTCAATTCAAATGCTGCACAACTCTGATTATGAGGAAATGTCTGAATGTGTAATATTCCTGTGAAATAATTATTTTCTTGTACTGTGAAAGGATGCTGTTAGGCAGCAACCAGCAGGCTTAGAAGATGCAAAGCTCCTGTGCAGACTGTTCAGACTAGTGCTTGACATATTTTAGTAGACCTTAGTCAGGTCACAATGACAATTTAATTTAATTAAGTTTTTTTTTTTTTTTACAAAACACGCACATCTCTGCCCCAATAAAATGTGTAACATTTTACATTTTTACACAAATTATATGTAATGTCTAATTCAGTTAACTTACACTGCAAACTTTTTCCTCAACATTATTATCTCGTTATTTTGTGGCATGTAAGTTCCTGAACATAATGAATTATGGGATACGCTTAGCCTCTGTGGTGTTAAGAGATATGTGGATTTAGTGTACGTTATGGACCCTTTTCATGAGCTTCGGCATTTTTCAGACCTGGGACAGTTTTGTGCACTTACTTCCTGTTGCATACAACTTCCTGGTGCCAAAGACCGCAAGTGTGTATTTTGGGACGGGCCCAAAGGCTGTCTTGCTTTCATGCTTCTTTGATCTTGCCTGCCCCCTCGCTCTCATACTCTCCCTCCTGTTCAGTACAGAAAATACACCCACAGACTGCAGTGGAAACTAATGTAGGGGTGTTTGTGATAAAATGGTAAAATATAATCTGGAAAAGGATGTCTTGTAAGTCACCAAAACCTATTAGGTTTTTAAGCATTAAACCATATTCTTAAGTCTGTCAAGATCAATTTGACATGTTTCTGATGCGTTTCCACAAAAGTAATACAGAAACATTTGTTCCCAATCTCAAAGTTTTTTTTCTCTAAACAGCGACACATTCCCATGAAGCTTATGAGCCAGAGAACAACTGTTAAAGGGGTCATATGACGTTGCTAAAAAGAACATTATTTTGTGTATTTGGTGTAATGAAATGTGTTTATGCGGTTTAAGGTTCAAATAACGCATTATTTTCCACATAATGTACATTATTGTTGCTCCTCTATGCCCGGCCTTTCTGAAACGCGTCGATT